AGTGTGAGGAGCTGGAGCAGCTCTCCTGCCACCTACGGTGCCCCAGATGTCCCCATGTGCTGCAGGGGCTCCCTGCCGCGTGTCCCGTGACTCGGGGGCCGAGCCACGCTGCTCCTCTTCTTTTCTTCCTCGAGGGAGGAAGGACGCGGATCCCACACGCCCGGCTGGTCCCCATGGGGCTGTTCCTGTCCCCGCGGTGTAGGTGGGCTCAGAGCAGCGAATTCAGAGGCATCACCTACATTGTGCAGCATCTGCATGAAAAGCTCCSGTAGATCGGACACTTTCCAGCTTGTCCCTGCTCGCTGGCAAAGAACGAAGCAGCTGGACACTGGCCCCGGGCTGGACATGCTGGGGCTCTGGACAGAGAGCAGCAGGAGGGAGCTCCAGGATGCGGTGGCGCTGGATCCGCACTTGGGGAATGTGTTCCTGTCCTGCAGATGGAGTGCGTAGTTCCCAGTGGAGATCCGAGAGCAGAAAGCGACGGCAGAGGTGCTGCCGGGAGGAGGATTCAGGCTCCGACCCGCCCCCGGAGGGGGGAAGCGGGAGAGCCCCTCTCCTTGGCCCCGCTCCACCGCCGCCAGCTCAAAGGCCCGATTGTCTGCCCGCACCAGATGTGCCGCTTCGGGTGGCGGCACAGAGGGGCTTTTCTGCTCCTCTCAATGACAGATCTGTGCTATTCCCGACGGGAAGGTCCCTCTGCGTCGCCCCGGCCCTTGCCAGATGCCCGGCAGCCGGGAACCTGCCTGCGGCGGGCGCGGCCGGAGAAGGGCGCTCTGTGCGCCGGACACAMGGGACCTTGCCCAATTCCGCTGGAAATGTCAAAAGGGAGCCGGACACCGTCAGCCCGAGGGCTCTGCGGCGGGTGAAGCTGGGGCAGGGGGAGTGGAGACGTGAAAACAGCTGGAAATAACTCTCCGGGGAAAAACTGGGTTTGGTTTGCTCCTGGCTTTGCAGGMCAGAGAGACGTGCTGGGGAGGAAATACCCTCTTTGTCCTAAGGACACACAGCACACAGCTGGCATCTTTGCTGGGTGCTAGAGGGCAGAGGGCACAGCAGCAGAAGGGATTCGGGGGCTGGTTTGTGCTCCTCGTGTACAGACAGCCCCATCCTGCTCTGCTGGGTGAAGGGACGAGCTGGAAATTAGGTGGGTGAAGCTGACACCACATCACCCACCAGGTGGTGGGGACATCCTTGTCCCCCACTCAGGGCAGGGTCTCTGCCTGTCACCGAGGGCTGGGGATGTCAGGGCTGCTGCCCCTGAAGGGCATTTCCCATGGAGAGCAGAGCTGGGACCCCACCCTGCTGCAGGACCGAAGTCTCAGGAGTTCACAGGGACAGATGCTCCCCTTTCCGGGAGTCACCCCTTTTGGGGACAATCAGTGTGGGCAGCTATTTTCAAAACTCATTTTACAGCCTGCTGGCTACAGGTGGACATGAGGGTACARCCCAGAGCCCCTAAAGGAAAAAGGCCATTTTGAAGGAGCACAGTATTTCAGCCAAGATGACAGATTCTCAAAGCAGCCCAGGCTACAAATCCTCTGCACGCAGCATGATCCCAATACGGGAATGTCCCAGAGCTGGGAGCATCCCACTGATGGATCTCACTGACTGTTGGGGTGTGTTTAGGGCCGTGTAACAGCAGGACACACTGGCCGTTGGGGCAGGTCCCCCTGGTGTGCCGGCGGGGCTGGCCTGCGGCCAAAGCAAACCCCGGCTGCAGAAAGCCTGCACGGCATTTCCCTCTGCACTGATAAGGCTGAGCTGCAATCACAGCCATGAGAAAAGCTGTCCTGGCCTTCCCCAGGCGAGCCCAGTGCCGTGCCAAGCACATCAAGGATTGCCCGAGATAAAAGCCCTCACCCTGTGCGCCGCACAGGCACGGAATGTCACCTGCGGCCGGCTAGATCAGAGGGGACACAGGTGGGGGACAGCGGGAAAGGGCTGGTCTTGTAGGGTCATGCTGGGGACAAGAGGACACACGTATCTTAGAGGAAGGTAGCGGGAGGTGGCACAGAGCAGGAGGCTCCCACGGAGAGGGACGATGGCATCCCAGGGTGTCATTGCAGGTGATCTGTGTTTGATGGAGGGGCCACAGCAGGGCCCTAAACTGGGCTCCAGGGGGTCTCCAGGAGGTGGGAAATGGCAAGGGAAGAGGCTGTTGGTGAGGAGTCTGTGTGGTGGCTGTCCTGCTGTTGGGGTTTGGCTTCCCCCAATGGCTTCAACCTCCATGGGAGCCCTTTCCCTGCCAGCTTGGCTGGGTCTGAGCTCCCTGTGTGCCCCCACAGCTCCTCAGGGACCCCTCCCCAGGTCCAGCCAGCTCAGGTCCCACAGCTGGAGAGCTGGGGAAGCGGCTCCAGATCCTCTCTCAGGTTCTTTGTTTTGCTGCAGCATCCCAGGGAGGAAGGATCCAAGCAGAGAAGTGACGAGAGGAAACGAGCTTCCTGTTCACTCCCAAACCTGCAGGCAGAAAACAAGGACATCCTGCTGGGCTGGCTGGCCAGGGACACTGAGCCTGTGGGAGGGCAGCATGCTGGGCTGGGATATTGCTGCTGTTGACATCCTTTCCTACAGGGACTGGGCCAGACAGAGCCTCACAGCTTTTGCCTCTGGTCCYACACCGTGCCTGGCCTGACCAGCTCGTTCATGGGGCCATGGAGGGGATGGTGCAGCCAAGAGCCGGGCTCAGGCAGGCTTGGTGGAGCTGGAGCAAGCAGAGATGAACTCAAGCAGCCAGGAGATGGCTGGAACACATCCCATCATGTGYTTGTCAGGTGAGCCCTSAGCATGCACAGCTCCTCCCTGCCAWGGACCACCACTGGCCAGTCTGGACACCCAGGATTGGACACCCAGGACTTTGGAGCCCACGGTGGGTGGACAGAGGAGGAGTAGGATCCTGTAGGATCCTGCTGCCATGGAGGAGATCAGGGTGCCCAGGGCTGGGGGTCCCACTACCAGGGAGCAAATGGAGTCATCCAGAGCTGCAGCAAGAGGAATGGCTGGTGCTGCAGCACATGGGGCTGTAACAGCAGGACAGCATCTGCAGGAGCATTTCTCAGGGTCTCTCTATCCAGGAGCCACATGAATGACATTGAGTGACAGCAAATGCCTGCTCATAGCCTGCCAAAGGCCTGGCCAAGCTCTGTGTGTTTGCTCATGCACCAACACCATCCAGTTCCTGTGCTGTGTGTGGGGACAGGGGGACAGCCAGGGAGGACAGCCTGTTTGGTCAGCCTGCTGTCACCTCCAGTCTGCAGTCACCTTCTCATGCTGCAGAGAAGCACCTGCCTGTGCTGGGGTGACTCACAACACACGCACACAGACACACACTTCCTACTGCTCTGATGGGAAAACAGAGGCACAATCACATTCACAGTCCCAGTAAGGGACTGGCAGAGAGAAAAAGATTGGGATTCACAGGGGAAATAATTTTTTGAGACCTTCTTCTGGACCAAAAAARAGCTTTCTAATGTATCTGATTCTATGAAAATTAATCACCTCCTGGAGCTCTTTKTTCAGGTGGACACTCTTAGGGGGGTCAGGGCTGGTTTTGATGGCCATCATGAAGGAACAGCTGTGCCAGACCCAAAAATGATGCCATGAAAATCAGCAGAGCACCAGACAACTGAATGACAGCTTCCAGCACCAGGAAACCACCGAGTTTTTTGGCAGAACTGCTCCTACAATAGCAACASAAGCCTGGCTAGCCCTCCCCATCCCTCTGTGTAGGGTTATGGRACAGATGCTGAACACAAGAGCTTGGTCCCAGACTGTGGAAGCCCCTGGTCCTTACRTGCAGTGTTTCCCAGACTGAGCATCTGTGCATCTTTCACCCACACAGGCTCCAGCCCTACAACCTCACAGCTGCACTTTGGTTAACCCAGATCTTGGCACAGGCGTGGGAGCAGCTGCTGCCATTTGCCTCCAAGCCAGGGTTCAGCTACACCTGCTGGGCACTGTCACCAGGCAGGCAGGTGCCACAGCTCCAACCGGTCCTGGCTCAGCGTCCCCGGCCTGGGGTCACCATGCTGGTCACCARCTGAGGCTTCAGAAGCACTTTGTTCCATGTGCTCTGCTCCTGGATGCAGATGGGATTTACAGGGGGTGTGAAGACCAACCAGCCCATGTGAGCTCTGTGGCCATGCTGCGTATTTGTGTCCCACGTAGTTTCTGCAGAAAACAATGAATATAAGAAACAAGGGTTGTCCCTTGGGTTTCATTCTTCTCCATGACCAGAACTTCGAGCCAGAGAAGCCTGATCCCTGCAGGGAACAATGTAACCCGCCTTTTACAAAGGCTGCTGGTGAGTCYCAGCCTGGAAATATCTCTGAGCTGCCATGGATTTGTGGTCCAGCACCACATTCAGGCAGCCCTAGGGCTGTATTTCTTTGGTGGTACTGCATGGTTCCAAGTGTCCCCACTCTTCCACAGCTGAGCCCAGTGCTGGGGTGGCAGCAGTCACAGGTGGGTCTGGCACCCACAGGGCTGCAGTGACATCACTTTCTCAAGCTCATGTTTCCTCAACTCCTTCTCTATTGTTTTTTTTTTTCCTCTTTTTGAGGAGGAAACGAGAATTGCTGTCTGGAGGTGGGTGACATTTTTGTCAGATGTCCAAGAGCAGAGTGAGGGATGGGACATGGACCCATCATGAAACTCTGAGCTGGGATGTGGGGCACAAGCTCCACAGTGCAGCTGGCAGGTGTGCACTGGTAGGTCTTGGCTCATCATGCCAGACTTCACCCTTGCTGACCTGGACAGAGAAAGCAAAGCTGCACAGTGCAGAGGACCCAACCAATTTCTTCGCCAAGCAGTCAGTGAATGGGTAAAAGTGGTGCTATTCCAGACCTGCTGGGGAGACTTAATGAGGGCATGAAATCACCAAGCTCATTACCACAGGATGCTGGGGAGGCCAAGTATGCAAATGGATTGGAGAGGGACGAGGTCTGTCAGTGGAGGTAGATTCATTAGAGTTATTAATGTACTTCCGTCCGGACGCAAAYCCTTTCTCAGGAAGTCCCCAGATTGCCAGCCAGCAGCTGGGAGGGACGTCGGGAAGCACATCTTGTTTCTTCTGCTCTTCCCGTGAGTAGTGTTACAGAAGAGCCAGACATGGAAAAATACCCGTGAGGTTCAGAGCTAGCTGAAAAGGAAAAGGAAAAAAAAAAAAAAGGAAAAATCCTTGCTGAGGGTTTCAGCACTGAAAGGGTCCTGAGCAGTTAATGAGGGCAAGCTCTAAACGGGGGAACGGCTGGGCTCCTTACGGGATGGGGGAGAGCTCAGAGCTCGCGGCTGAGCAACCAGCACGGGAAGCAGGCGGGGAAGAAAGCTGGCAAGAAAAGGAGACAAACAGCCGCTGCTGGGACAGGGCGGGCTGCCAGGAAACCCAGCGGGGCCAGGCCCGGGGAGCCCAGCCAGGGCCAGAGGCGCACGGCTCCCGGCCATGRGGGGAACGAGGGCAAGAGAGAGGGGCAGGGGCGGCCGTGCTGAGGGGAGCACGGTGGGACAAGGAGCTGGACCCCGGGCACCCCCGGAGCCCGGCCAGCAGCGGGGTTGATCTCAGGGCAGAGGATACCCCAGCATCGGGGTGATGCGGGCAGGGGGTCCCCCTTTCTGCAGGGTGACCATCCCCGAGGTGTAAGGTTAGGGAGAATCCCGACCCCAGGGGGACTGGAGCGGGCGCACCCCATGTCCAGGGTAACCGGGACAGGGGACCTGGGGGTGACAAGGGTAGGGGACACCCCTCCCCCCAGGGGACAGGGACGGGGCACGTCCCACGCCGGGCAGCCCCGGGGACAGCGATATCCCGTGGCTAGCGGGGATGCGGCGGGGCGAGCGGCCGGGGGCGGTCCCCGTCCCGTCGGGCCCGGAGCCGGTCCCCGCCC